CAAGAAGACTTTCCACATCAAGCAGATGTTCACCTGCACATCTGCCAATGTGGTATACTGCATCCGCTGTACCCGGTGTGGCTTCCTCTACATCGGGGAAACCAAGCGGAGGCTCGGGGACCGCTTTGCAGAACACCTACGCTCGGTTCGCAACAAACAACTGCACCTCCCAGTCGCGAACCATTTCAACTCCCCCTTCCCATTCCTCAGACAACATGTCCATCCTGGGCCTCCTGCAGTGCCACAACGATGCCACCCGAAGGTTGCAGGAACAGCAACTCATATTCCGCTTGGGAACCCTGCAGCCCAATGGTATCAATGTGGATTTCACAAGTTTCAAAATCTCCCCTCCCCCTACCGCATCCCAAAACCAGTCCAGCTCGTCCCTGCCTCCCTAACCTGTTCTTCCTCCCACCTCAAGCCACACCTCCATCTCCTACCGACTAACCTCATCCTGCCCCCTTGACCTGTCCGTCCTCCCTGGACTGACCTTTCGCCTCCCTACCTCCCCACGTACACTCCCCTTTACTGGCTCCATCCCCGCCTCTTTGACCTGTCTGTTTCCTCTCCATCTATCCTCTCTTCTATCCGCCTCCCACTCTCTCCCTATTTATTTCAGAACCCCCTTCCCCTCCCCCTTTTCTGATGAAGGGTCTAGGCCCGAAACGTCAGCCTCTCTGCTCCTATGATGCTGCTTGGCCTGCTGTGTTCATCCAGCCCTGCACCTTGTTGTCTCTGTAAAGCTGACAATTTACTTTCTGATTCTGCCTCTGTTTATATTTTCCTGCTAGTACATCCCTGAAATTGTACAACTGTACAGTAAAGATGGAGAAGATCTTTGGGATGCAGCACGCTGCAGAATAATAATAACCACATGTAGTACAGCTGGATTATTCTACCAAATTGGATTAAGGTACAACGAAGCATGCAGTATTAAACTATCTGTTTTAGATTTCTATTTGTGTCTTATTTGCATAAAGTGATTCTATGTGATGCATTCTCGATGCAGTGTTTATAAATCATTGGAAGAACAAATGCTATCTATTCCAGTTGAGGTTTTGCATTTTTGAAAATGTGTGCATAGTGTAAACTCATGTTTTACAGTATCAAGTCGACTTGAGACTGAATTTTAGTTTATTTGGCTCAGTCCAAGTTGCATTGTGTTCTTTGGAGGGCTTGTCACTGTGATGTTGATTGATTCTCTCACTATATCTTACCAAATTTGCTGCAGTAATTGTCTCGCTGGTCCATATGGCATATCTCACATCTGATTTCCACGCACTCGCCCTGGAACAGTGGTCCATATACTGGATATCCACCCGAAGACTGATATCCCTTGCATCTGGGCCATCTTTGAAGGGTTGCTGTGTAATGCCAGAAACCTGAAGAATATTGCCTTTATCATATAATTGAGGGGAATGAAAGTGACATCTACATACACAAGTAATGTGTTGTTAAATGTTGCTACATATTGCTTAATCCCATGCTCGACATGCTCAGTTCGGAAGTATCCAGTAGTCAGTATGGTACAGGCTGTACGTGAGACAGATTTAAGTGTGCTTATCAATAATCCTGTGAGCATTTCGTGATGGAGAACCTGAAGCCTGTGCTGTTTTAGAATAAAATGTTTTGGAAAATGGATTCACTGAAAGAAGTCAAAGTTCATTATTTCTGAAGGTACCCCTTCCTGGAGGTTATGAGAACCAGGAGAACCACCCAGACTTCCTCTTGCCAGCTGTATAATACAGGATGGTAAATGTGATCTGGGGCACCTCTGTCCAATTTATGAATTTTGTTTTCTCCTGAAAGATTGATGAAATTAAAGTGGAATTTTAAACCTAAACTGGATAGCTGGAATTATCTACTGTTTTGATTTTTGTTTTTTAATCAAAGGACTGGACATTTCACTCATGTTTTCATTGATGAAGCTGGTCAAGCTACTGAACCTGAATGTCTCATTCCAATGCTGCTAGTATCTGAGGAAGATGGACAGGTACCACGTAAGAATAGAAAAACATTTGATCTTGTTTGGTTTGTATTGTGTAATTTTCAGGTTCATTCTTGAGCTTCTATCAGTATTTCATTAACTTGGCTTTATCACCACATGCAAATTTCCTGCTTGGATCTCAATTCTCCCACATGACTTTCAGATAGACATTGCAGAAAATGGGAAGTAAGCTGAAAAAGATGACTACAGCAGGTAGAATACGGCTCACTGCATGTCTGCCAGAAGCATGAATACTGACAAACTTATACTGTTAGGTTGATCAAACTTTTCAAAGTATTATAGTGAACAGATGATGTAGCTAGAAACTATTTACTCAGGTTGAGGAGTTTGGGTTAGGGAATGTAGCATACGAATGACAGTCAGACCTTCAGGAGTAAAATTAGAAAATGCTTCCATCGGCAAGACATTGTGGAAGTTTGGAACTTACTTCCACAAACAACAATTAATGCCAGAACAATTATAAATTTTTAAATCTCAGATTGATCCAAAGGTATTAAGAGAGATGGGGTTAAGCGCAGGTAACTGCTCAGAAATAACCTCACTCATGATTAGTTTGGGTAACAAGGCCAGAAGAGCTGAACTGTTTGCTCAAGAGATGAGCTGATGACTGTGGATAAGGTGATAAAGAAAGCATATGGTATACCTGTCTTCATCAGTTGGGGCATTGAATATAAAAATTGGCAAGTATGTTGCAGCTGTATAACACTTTGATTAGGCTGCATTTGGAGTACTGTGTGCAGTTGTGGTCAAGCTAGCATTTTGACTAAGTGTGGCATCAAGGAACCTTTCTAAACTGGAGTCAAAGGAATAATGGAGAAAACTCTCCATTGGTTAGAGTCATGCTTAACATAAAGAAAGTCAGCTGTGGTTATTAAATGTTAATCATGTCAGCCCCAGAATATCTCTGCATGAATTCCCCAGGGTAGATATTTTCTAATCAATCTGTTCACATATTATTACATATCTGCTTCAGAGATGAGATTTGAACCTGAGCCTCCTAGTTTGGAGGTAGGGGCACTAGCATTCCACACAAGAGCCTCTCTTTCCCTAGAGTAGAGGCCTACGCCCAGCCATCTTCAGCTGTTTCATCAATGACCTTTCTTCATCATGAAGTGGGGATGTTCACTGATGGTCACATCATGGTTACCATCATTCGCAACACATCAGATACTGAAGTAATTCCTGTCAAGAGGCAGCAAGACCTGAACCACATGCAGGCTTGGGTTGACAAGCATAAACCATCTAAAACAGGAGGAAATCTAGCCATGTCCCCGTGACATTCAATGACATTACCATTGCTATATCCTGTACTTTCAACATGGGAGTTGCCATTAACCAGAAACTGAACTGGACCAGGAGTATAATTACGACATCCACAGGAGCAGGTCAAAGACTAGGAATTCTGCAGCAGTAACTCCCTTCCTGATTCCTTAAAGCCTGTCTGCCACCTCCAAGGCACAAGTCAGGAGTATGATGAAATACACTCCCCTTGCCTGAATGATTGCAGCTCCTACAACACCCAAACTCAACAACATGCAGGACAAAGCAGCCTACTTGTTTGGCACCCTATCTGCATAGAACGTAGAACAGTACGGCACAGGAACAGGCCCTTCGACACACCATGCCTGCGCCAACCATGATGCCATTCTGAGCTAATCCCAGTTGCCTGCACAGTCAGTAATGCTCAATTCCCTGCCTGTTCATGTGTCTGTCTAAATGCCTCTTAAACTTTTGCTACCATATCTGTTTCTACCATTTACCCTGGCAGTGTGTTCCAAGCACCTTTGTGTAAAAAGAAAAATTTCCTCACAAATCTCCTTTCAACTTTTCCCCTCTCACCTTAAATCTATGCCATCTAGTATTTGATATTTCCACCCTAATCATGCCTGTCATAATTTTATATGCTTCTATCAGGTGCACCCCCCCCCACCACCACCCCACCAGCCTCGAATGCTCATTCGAAAACAATCCATGTTTGTCCAACCTCTCCTTATAGCTAATGCACTCTGATCTCAGCAATGTCCTGATCAACCTCTTTTGCACCCTTCCCAAAACCTCCACATTCGTCCTATAGTGTGGTGACCACAACTGTGCACATTACTCCAAACTGAAGTAGCCTAACTGAAGTCTTATACACCTGCAACATAATTGCCAACTTTTATATTCAATGCCTCAACTGATGAAGGCAGACGTACCATACGCCTTCTTTATCACTTTATCCACTTGTTTTACCACTTTCAAGGAGCTACAGACTTGGACCCCAAAATTCGTCTGTATATCAATGCTCCTAAGTGTCCTGTCATTTACTATGTACCACCTAAACATTCACTACTCTCCACTACTAATTCACAGTGGCCACAGTGTGTACCACCCACAGGATGCACTGCACCAACTCACCAAGGCTTCTTTGACAGCATGTTCCAAATCTGCAATAAAGATCTGATTGAGCAACATCAGCAAGGATTTGTAAATGGGAAACCATATCTGACACACCTGTTGGAGGTTTTTAAGGATGTTACTAACAGAATTGATAAAGATGAATCAGTAGATTGGATATAATTGGATTAAGAGATTTTAAAAATGTAAATGTACAAAGGGACCTGGGTGGCCTCAGCAATATGTCACTGACAGCTAACGTGTAGGTGCGGCAAGATATTATAAAGGCTAGGTATTTAGCCTTAATTGCAAGAGAACTTGAATACAGAAGTAACAAAATCTTGCTTCAGTTGTATATAACCTTGGTTAGACTGTAACTGGAGCACTAATTGCACAGTCTACCTTAAGAAGAATGTCATTGCCATTGAGGGAGTGCAGCAAAGGTTCACCAGACTGCCTATGAAGAGATAACAAGGTGTAGAGCTGGATGAACACAGCAGGCCAAGCAGCATCAGAGGAGCAGGAAGGCTGACGTTTCAGGCCTAGACCCTTCTTCAGAAATTCTCATCCAGCTCTACACCTTGTTATCTCAGATTCTGCAGCATCACCAGTTCCTACTATCTCTGCCTACGAAGAGAGATTGAGGAAACTGGGAATGTTCTCGAGAGTTTTAAAGAATGAGAGGTAATCTCGTTGAAGCCTGCAAAATGATTAAAGTTTTAGACAAGGTAAATGCAGATAAAATGTTCCCTAACTGGGGAGTCTAGAACCAGGGGAAACAATTTCAAAATAAGGGGGAAGCTACTTAAGACCGAGATGAGGAGAAATTTCTTCACTCGGTTGTGAACCTTGAAACTCTGTTGCTGTAGAGGGCTTTAGAGGAATAGCCATTGAGTATGTTTAGAGATTTTTAGATTTCTAAATATCCAAAGAGATATGAGATAGTTTGGGGAAAGGCATTGAAGTGGATCATCAGATAAGATCATCTTGAATAGCCCACAGACTCGACAAACTGGTTTAACTCTTAAGTTCCTAACTTCTACTGACTAGAAGGACAAAGACAGCAAATACACATGACCATCATCACCTGTTAAGTTCCTTTCCAAGGCCTACATTGCTGTGGTTCTTTCACAATTGCCAGATCAAAATCCTGGTACGTTTGAACATCACAGTGGTGTGCCTACGAACTGCCATGGTTTAAGATGGCAGGTCCACATCACCACCTTGAGCAATTAGTAATGGGTAACAAATGCTGTTCAACTAGCAAGACCTATATCTGTGAATGCCATTTTTAAAAATCCAATGTTTGCAGATCAGCTGCAATCTTGTTGAATTGAAGTACAGACTCGAGGGTGAATTGGCCTATTCCAGTTCCTATGTTCTGAAACATTGTGATTGATTGCTGCTGTAAAGCTGTTACAGTTACTTTGCAGTATTATTTTCCAAACTTTGGTGAATTTCATTTCACTTCACTTCATCAATTGTTTTCAGTCTGCAAACACATTTAGAATTGTGCTTTCTTTCTCTTTGACTCAAACTAAGGTACAAAAACAAAGTTCCGGAAAAGCTCAGCAGGTCAGGCAGCAGCGGTGAAGAGAAATCAGAGTTAACGTTTCAGGCCTGGTGACTACTGAGGAAGGGTCACCAGTTTACAGCATCCGCAGTTCTTTCAGTTTCTATTTAGTATCAAACTAAGGTCCTATAGTTTTAGTTTTCCCACTCATGAGGGAGTAATGAATAAATGAGAGAATGCTTCTGTAGTTTGCAACATGAACAGCCTGCTGCCATTGTTTATTATTAACCCTACAGATTGTGCTTGCTGGAGACCCAATGCAACTAGGACCAATAATAAAGTCGAGAATTGCTTCAGCTTATGGTCTGTCTGTTTCACTTTTGGAGCGATTAATGACACGTCCTTCATATTGTAGAGATGAAAACTTTGCTGCATTTGGATCCTACAGTCCTCTTTTGGTGAGTTTAGTCCTTGTTTGCAGCAGCCAAATGCTGTAGTCATGTTTTTCCCTCTTCCAAATGTATGCACAATACAAAGTGATTTGTTCATGTTTCTGTCATTTTGTACAGCGGCTGCATTTCCATATCTTAGAAAAGTATAACTTTACTGTTATTAAATTAAGGCTTTGAGAGTTTCTTTTTTTTATATACATTAAACAAATATCAAACATTTAAGGGATCAGGGACTCTGTTGAAAAATTGATACTCAGAAATATGGATTATAGGGAGCTCTCTGGCAAACAGAAGTCAGATGCCATTAATGGAAACATGCTTATTTTCATCTTAATTCACTTTTTGTATTATTCAGTTCTGATTCAATTAGCGTTGGACTAAATATAAAGAATGCAATTATACTTCAATTTTGTGCCGTTAAAATAGAATCTGATTCACAGCAGTGCTAAAGTGGTGGTGCAACAATGGAGTCAGATCATTAATCTGTATTACAGTAGAGGCCACTGGGAAATATCCTTACAAGATGGGGTCTCTCACCAGGGGTGCTGATGTTGATGTCCACTAGGGTATTTCAGTGTGATGTGTCTCCTAATGGAAACTCTGAACCTCCTGAGAAACATCTAGATAATGTACTGGTATGTAGAGAGATGAGATCACTAGTTTAGGTAGTTAACTCAGGAACATAGTTTCCTACTGTTTTAGGACAACTTTTGGGGGAGTTCCATGTTTATACGTATATAAAACGAAAAAGAGTGGCTAAGGTAAACAGTGGTCCTTTACAGGATAAGAAAGGGGATTTAATATTGGGAAATGAAGAAATAGCCGAGGCATTGAACAGGTATTTTGTCGGTCTTCACAGTGGAGGACACGAATAACATGCCAGTAATTGATGACAAGGAGACTAAGGTAGGTGAGGACCTCGACACAATCATTATCACAGAAAAGGTAGTGTTGGGCAAGCTAATGGAGCTGAAGATAGACAAGTCTCCTGGCCCTGATGGAATGCATACCAGGGTACTGAATGAGATAGCGGGAGAAATAGCAAATGCGCTTGTGGTAACTTTCCAAAATTCGCTGGACTCTGGGGTATTTCCAGCAGATTGGAAAACAGCAAGTGTGACGCCACTGTTTAAAAAAATGAGGTAGACAAAAGATAGGGAATTATAGGCTGGTTGGTTTAACTTCTGTAGTGGGGAAAATGCTTGAATCTACCATCAAGGAAGAAAAAGCAAGTCATCTAGATGAAATTGTCCCATTGGGTGGACACAGCATGGGTTCATGAAAGGCAGGTCATGTTTAACTAATTTACTGTAATTCTACATAGACATTACAAGCATGGTGGACAACACAGACCCAGTACATGTGGTGTATCTGGATTTCCAAAAAGCATTCGACAAGGTGCCGCACAAAAGACTGCTGCATAAGATAAAGGTTACCGGCAATGTATTGGTATGGATAGAGGATTGGTTAACTGACAGGAAGCAAAGAATGGGGATAAATGAGTGCTTTTCTGGTTGGCGATCAGTGACTAGTGTGCCTCAGGGGTCAGTGTTGGGACCGCAATTGTTTACAATTTACATGGATGATTTGGAGTTGGGGACCATGTGTAGTGTGTCAAAGTTTGCAGATGACACTAAGATGAGCGGTAGAGCAAAGTGTGCAGAGGACTCTGAAAGTTTGCAGAGGGATATAGATTTTTTAAGTGAGTGGGCAAAGGTCTTGCAGATGGAGTACAATGTTGATAAATGTGAAGTCAACCATTTTGGTAGGAATATCAGTAAAAAGGACTATTATTTGAACGGTAAAAAATTGCAGAGAGATCTGGGTGTCCTTGTGCATGAATTGCAAAAGGTTGGTTTATAGGTGCAACAGGTAATTAAGAAGGCAAATGGAATATTGTCCTTCATTGCTAAAAGGGTTGAGTTTAAAAGCAGGGAGGTTATGTTGCAACTGTATGGGGTGCTGGTGAGGCCACACCTGGAGTACTGCCTGCAGGTTTGGTCTCCTAACTCGAGAAAGGATGTAGTGGCACTGAAGGGGTTGCAGAGGAGATTCACTAAGTTAATTCTGAAGTTGAGAGGGTTGGCTCACGAGGAGACATTGAGTAAACTGGGATTATAGTCATTGGAATTTAGAAGGGGGTATCTATAGAAACACACAAAATTATGAAGGGAATACATAAGTTAGAAGTAGGGAGGATGTTTCCACTGGCGGGCGAACTTGGACAAGAGGACATAGCCCCCAAAATTAGGGGGAGCAGATTTGGACTGAATTGAGGAGGAACTCAAACGGTTGTGAATCTGTGGAATTCCCTGCCCAGTGAAGTAGTTGAGGCTTCCTCATTGAATGTTTCTAAAGCTAAGATAATTTTTTGAATAGTAAATGAATTAAGGGTTATGGGGAGAGGGTGTATAAGTGGAGCTGAGACCATGAAAAGATCAGCCATGATCTTATTGAATGGGGGAGCAGGCTCGAAGGGCCAGATGGTCGTCTACTGCTCCTGGTTCTTATGTTATCTAATTCTGTTTGCTCACATGCAAATTACAGATGTTCCCAGTTGAATGAAATGAAAGATACAAAAAGTAATCGGTGGTTTCAAGAAGACCTAGTGTATTGATTTTAGTTTGCTTTAGAATAATTTGCAGGTGCACAGATCACTATAAAGGGAAAGACAAGAGATTGTATAGAGAACTATAAATACATTATTCTGACTAAGAAATATAACTGAAATTTAACCACCCTCTTCTTTATAGGTGACAAAGCTAGTGAATAATTATCGTTCACATTCATCTTTACTTGCCCTGCCTTCTAAATTGTTTTATCATGAAGAGCTAAAGATGTGTTCAGATCAGTCTGTGGTCAGCAAGTTCTGTAACTGGGAGAAATTGCCCAGGAAAGGATTTCCGATAATTTTTCATGGATTGAGGGTATGTTGTTGAAGCCCTTCGAAATGTGTCAAACTCAATATACTCTCTTCATAAGTAAATCATTTCATATTGTATGATTTTACTTTCAATAGTTTTATAGAGAATTAGAATTGTTTTCATCCAACTCTCCCATCTTCAAAATGATTTTGCAATAACATTTAACTTTTTAATAAAATTAATGCAGCTGTACTTCCTTAATCAACTGAAATCAGAACAGCATACGTGATATTTATTCATTGATAAATCATGCTTATGCTGGTCTGAAGTTAATCTGTTTTTAATGGTGTTTGTTGTGAAGTGAATGTCAGCCAGAATACAGGGAGAATGGGCTCTAGTTTTGGAATACAATTATAGGATCTTTCACATCAGTTGAACTTAAATAACTCAGTGGTGAGAATATCATTGAGCAAAGCTAACTTTAAAGGTTCCAGTTTTGATCCCTGTCTATACTCGGTTTGTTAACGTGAATAAGCATGGTAGTGTCAGTACAGTTGACATGCAGTACTTTGGATTACTGTTTGACTGCAAACAAGATGCTAGATACAGCCTGATCTGTTTAATGACCTCCTTCCTCATAACAATTGAGCTGACCCCTGATACACTACATACCAGAAAGCATAGAAAATCAGGACCTGTTCAACAATGTTAAAATACCCTATCAGCTATTTTAGGTTAGGTTCATTTGGAAATGGTGTCCAATGAGATGTATATTGTCCTAAGCAGCCAGGTAAGTAAATGGGAGATTGAAATTCTCATGAATTGCAAAATCAAATTGTCCCTGATTGAGAAGTATTTTGTCTGCAACCTTGTTGGGGGAGAACAGCTACATTTGACTAAAGATGATATGGAATACTGAATTCTTAATCCTTCCTCAGTGATGGTGACATCGCAAGTAAATTATTGACCCTCTGAAGTAGAATTACAGAGACTAGGATTGGCCCTATGAGCCTGCTCCTCCATTCAATATGATCGTGGCTGATCCTGTATCTCTGCCATACCCACGCTTTCTCCCCACATCCCTTGATACCTCTTTCAATATTTAATGATTTATCAGTCCCTTTCTTGAATATGTTCAGTGACCCAGCCTCCTCCAATCTGCTGTGGTAGCGAATTCCACAGGCTGACCACCCTCTGAGTGAATAAATGCATCCTTTATCTCAATCCTAAAAGACCTACCTTGTTTCCTGAGATTGTAACTGCTGGTTCTAGACTGTGCATCCAGTGGAAACATCTCCCTGCATCAAGCTCCTACACTGGGTCTGCGGCAGATGGCGAGGGAACCCACAAGAGAGAAAAACATACATGACTTCATCCTTACCAATCTGCTGGCTGCAGATACATCAGTGCATGACAGTATCAATAACAGTGATATCTGCACAGTCCTTGCTGAGATGAAGTTCTGCCTTCACGTTGAGAATACCCTCCATCATGTTTTGTGGTACTATCACCCTGCTAAATGGGACAGACCTGAAAGAGATCTGGCAACTCAAGACCAGGCATCCATGAGGCGCTGTGGGCCATCAACAGCAGCAGAATTGTACTCCAGCACAATCTGTAACCTCACGGCCAGCATATCGTTCAGAAAAATAAAACCATAATTTTGAAAATTAATGTTTTTTTAAAAAAGTACTGGCTCTGCCTGGAGTATTGTGACCAATTCTGGCCACTGCACTTCAGAAAAGATGTGAAGACTTTAAAGGGGATATAAAAAAGATTTATGAAAATGATTCCATTGATGGTGGACTTAAGTCACGTGAATTGCTTGGAGAAGCTGAGATTGCTTTCCTTGCAGTAAGTCGAAAGAGATTTGATACACATGCTCAAAATTGTGAGGAGTCTTTACACAATATATAGGGAGAAATAATTCCCATTGGCAGAGGAGTCAGGAACCAGAGGTCAACAATTTAAAATATCTGGCAAAAGAAGCAATGGTGACTGGAGAACCAAAATTCTTTCGGCGTGAATGGTTAGACTCTGGATTACAATGCCTGAGAAAGCGGTGAAGGCAAATTTTGTTGTGGTTTGATAAGCACCTGAAGGAAAATGTGGGGCTAACCAGGGAGTCAAAGACTATGGGAGTAGGCTGGGAGATGGAGTTCCGGTCTCAATCAACCATGAACTTGGCAAATTACTTAGCAGTCTTAACAGGCTGAATGATCTACCCCTGCTCCTAATTTCTATTTGTGTGGTATTCTTGCATATACCTTTGTAACCTGTCATTCGTGTTGTAAAAAACAACCTAACTCCCTCAAATGGAATTACAGAAGAAATGACAAACTCTTGTAGGTTTATTTAAGGCATGTTACAGCTCCCTGACAATGACATACCATGTGCACTTACATGTACTGTTAAACTGTTTTACAAATTGTCACTTCTATCCTTAAATAATTGACAAACATTTACCGAAATAGCTGTATGGACGCTTCACTCTTGCGAGGCATATCAGATTCTAATTTTGTAATCACTGTTAATTGAACTAATTTGTTAAAATTTCAGGGAAATGAAATGAGGGAAGGTAGCAATCCATCATGGTTCAATCCTAAAGAGGCAGTTCAAGTAATGCGTTATTGCTGTCTCCTGGCAAAACACTGTACAAACCCAGTAAAGCCTTCTGAGATTGGGGTCATTGCACCCTACCAAAAACAAGTAGGTACATTAGAGATATCATTTAATGACATTCCCTTTCACTATGTGGACCTCTACTAATTACTGTTCTTTTACTTCAACTTGAAATTGATTTGATTTGATTTCTTGTCATCTATACCTAAGTACAGTGAAAACCTTTGTTTGAAAGCAGTACAGGCAGTTCATAGGGAGTAAGGACTTACAGATCATCGGGTGCTTGGACAGAATGAGCCATACAGGTTACGCTGCGCAGGAGGTTTGAGAAGCAAGATCAGCATTAATAAGATAAACGTTATTTAAAGTTAGAGAGTTCATTCATTTTCAAATAAACGGCAGGGAAGAAGCTGTTCTTGAACCTCTTTGTGTGTGTGTATCTTCTGCCTAATGTAAGAGGTTATAGGAGTGCATTACTGGGGTGGGTGGGGTCTTTGTTTTTGACGACTTTTCTGCAGCAACGAGAAGTATAAGTGGAGTCCATGGATGGAAGGTTGGCTTCCATGATGGTCTGGGCTTTGCACACAACCTTCTGTAGTTTCTTATGGCCCTGAGCAGAGCAGTTGATGTACCAGGCTGTTATGCAGCCAGATAGTATGCTTTCTGTGTTGTATTTGTAAACGTTGGTGCGGGTCCTTGTGGACATGCCAAATTTCCTAAGCCACCTGAGGAAGAAGAGGCGTTGTTGTGCTTTCTTAACCATTGCATTATCATGGGAAGTGTAGGACAAGTTGAGTGGAAGCAGGTGATATATCAGCTATAGCAGGAACTGCAGATGCTGGAGAATCTGAGATAACAAGGTGTAGAGCTGGATGAACACAGCAGGCCAAGCAGCATCAGAGGAGCAGGGAGGC